CTCCTCTGGTTCAGCCACTTCCCAGCCTGAGAGCCCAGCGCTCTTCCATGACCCTTCAGACCTTGAGAGGCCTGAGGTCCGTCTAGGCAGGACCCACTCTATAAAACGCCCTCCCTCCCCAATTTGGGTGTGAAATGTCAAGGGTGACAGATACCACTATTTTTTTTTTTGAAGATTTTGTTGTTTTGTTTTGTATGTGGACCATTTTTAAAGTCTTTATTGAATTTGTTACGATGCTGCTTCTGTTTTATGTTTTGTTTTGTTTTTGGCTGCAAGGTCTTAGCTCCCCCACCAGGGATCGAACCCTCGGCCCCTGCACTGGAAGGGGGAGTCTAAACCACTGGACGGCCAGGAAAGTCCCCTAGCAGTAGATATCTCACTGAGTGTCCCTGGGACCCGGGTTAGGAACCCTTGCCCTGGGGGCCGGGTCACTGCTGGGCCGCCAGGGGGCGCCAGCTGCCTGTCGGCCTTTTCCTGGCCCTGCGCTTGCTTTTCTGCCCTCCGTCTTGCCAGCAACGCAGGAGTCACTGGCTTGTTGTAGCACCACACACACTCTGCGGTGCTCATGTGGTAGAAATCCTGAGTCATAATTTTTGTTTTTACTAAAAGCTTCATTTTCCCAAAGTCTGCTTTTCTTTACAACATATCCTAATTCCATTATATCTTCAAGTTTGCAGACCTTTTTACTGCCCAGCTGGCTCATTTGCAGAGCTCTCCAGGGGATGGGGGAGGGGGATCTGAAGATGCTTCTTGATCAGGTCTTAGGAATTTTCTCAGTGTTATAAAGCCGTTTTTTCCTTTCAGTTTTCTTCTGAGGCAGAGAAACACTGTTCAGCCACCTCTGGTCCCCTGGGGAGAGGAGCAGACCTCCATGAACGGGAGGGGGAGGATGCGACCAGCACGTGGGCCTGACGGTGGAAAGGAGATTGGATCCACTGACCGTTACCGCTGTTGTGGATTTCATGTCAGAGCAGCAGAATCTGCAAGCTCTTGACCTTGAAAGGGGAGGTTTTCTGCCTTTAAAACTCCATCAAAGCTGGTTCTTTGAATTCTCCGTTTTTCAGAGACCCTGCTAACTGTGGGTGCTTTGCAGATGCCCACAAATTGGTGTTCATACGGCCAGTTGACCTTCAGCCTGATGTGCCCTGTTGGAGACGTCTACCCTCCATCCACGCATGCCTGTATTATTTTATTTTTTTTAATAATTACTACTTTTTTATTCACTTTTATTTATTTTTGGCTGTTCTGGGTCTTTGTGGCTGTGAGTGGGCTTTCTCTAGTTGCAGCAAACCTGTGCAGTGCATAGGCCTCTCATTGCTGTGGCTTCCCTTGTGGTAGACGCAGGCTCCAAGCATGCAGGCTTCAGTAGTTGTGGCACATGAGTTTAACTGACTTGATGCATGTGGGATCTTCCTGGACCAGGGATTGAACCCATGTCCCCTGTATTGGCAGGCAGATTCTTATCCACTGGACCACCAGGGAATCCCACACCTCCCCATTTTTAGACCCACACAAAAAGGTGGGCTCACCTGCATATGAATTGAGTTCCAGTTTGGATGGAATTGGAGGAGGGGTGGTTCTCTAATATGTTCACTGACAAAGTGATGAATGAAACCAGCTTTAAAAAAAAAAAACACGATTATTTATTCGAGGTTTGGTAGGAGAGTTTTCGCAGGTTCTCAGAAGCTGGGAGAGACAGGAATATTACTGGACCCTTGTTTAAGCTCAGGGCACAGTTTGCTAAGGATCTGCGCCAGTAAGGGGATGTGTATCAGACTCCCCGTGGCCTTTCTTCCCTTGACGGGACTTCAGGGCCCCCGGAGTCCTGGCCGCCAGTCACCCTGGAGTGAGTCAGCTTCTGGGGCCTGTGCGCCGGCCTGCTTTCTCTTTGCTGGAGCCAGTGTGCCTGGTGGTATCATGAGACACGGGAAATGTGACGCTGATGGGAGTGGGACGAGCTGGAGAGGCTTGTGTGCACGGTAATGTTTGTTTGCTGTGGCAGGATCTCGCAGAAGGCTTCTTGGCTTCTGGAAATCAGGGACCGTCTGGGTTTAGTTTTCAAGGAAGGCAGACAGCAGGAGACGTGTGGTCTGGATGGTCTGTAAGCATCTCCCTGAGAGTGACTGTGGATGGGAGGGGTGGAGAGTTCCCCACTCACTGGCCTACAGGCAGATGGAAAAATCACAGTTTCGGGAAAAAGAAGCCTTCTTCACTTCTCGAAGCTGACTTGAGCTATTGATTTGTTTACCTCACACTCAGTACTTTGTGAGAGCAACTCATTTCAGGCAGGAACAATTGCGCTCCAAATGGAGCTCCCTTTCTTTCTGAATTTCTGTTCTGGAGAACTGTTGATGAGCAATGTTGTGTTCCTTTCTGGAGTCCAGCAGCGATGCAGTTGTACACTTACAGGTATCTGTTCTTCTTCAGGGTCTTTTCCCACGGTGCTCCCTTTCTTGTTGAGATGTGCAGGGACCTTGAAAGCCATGCCTGCCTCCTCCAGCGCAGGCTGGTAACCTGATTTGCTTTCTTCTTTAAAATGTTATTTAAATGTATTTGGTCGTGCTGGGTCTTAGTTGTGTGAGGTCTTGACTTGGGGTGTGTGGGCTCTCAGCTGCAGGGTGTGGGTCTGGTTCCTTGACCAGGGACCAAACCTGGGCCCCTGCATGAGGATTGCAGAAAATAGCCACTGGACCACCAGGGAAGGCCCATGATTGCTTCCGATTGTGCTTTCACCTCCTGACACAAGATGCCCAGGTGTTGCCTTCTCCTGCCCCATCGCCCCAGGTGGAGGGGAGTCTGCTGGTACTTCCTGCCCGTCAGATCTCTGCAGAGGTGGTAGCAGCCGCATCACCTAGGCATGGGCTTTGCTGGTGGCTCAGTGGTAAAGAATCTGCCTGCAATGCAGGAGATGTGGATTCAGTCCCTGGGTCGGGAAGATCCCCGTGGAGGAGGGAATGGCTACCCACTCCAGTATTCTTGCCTAGAGAATCCTGTGGACAGAGGAGGCTGGCAGGCTATACAGCCTGTGGGGTCGCAACGAGTCAGACAGAACTGAGAGACTACACGTTTCACCTTCGCATTGAAGGGTGGGTGTCTGAGCTGTCTGGCTTCAGTGGCACCTGACTGGAGATGCAAACTCACAGAGCACAGAGGCAGCCACCCTTTAAAATTCCCCTAAAATGCAGAGGAGAGGAGCGAGGAGAGTCAGGAGGACAGGTGTGTGGGAGGGCGGCCCTGCCTCAGCCCGGCGGGCTCATAACTGCAGCAGCCTTGATCGCCATGGGCGCTGAAGCTGGAGGAGAGACAGGGCTTCCGGGCACTGACAGAAAGGTCTGGGTTCCTGTCCCCCTGTCCCGGATTTCCCAGCATGGCCCCAGACGTCCCTCAGGTCCGTCCTCTGGATCACGGTGGGGGGACAGAGGCCCTCAGTTATTTCAGTATATCCGGCAAAGCACCTTTCCAGTGCTGTCACATAAGACACGTGGCATGAGTCTGGGGAACCAGGCAGACGATGGAAGCTCGACTCTTGGTTGGAGGACAGCCCCATGGACTTGGGAGTAATTTGAGAAATGTGTCTAAGGAAAACGTGTATTCCAGTTGAAGTCTTACAATCACTTTTCAATGGCATATTCACGTGTGTATTTGGCAGCATCATCGAGATCTTTGCGGCGCATGCCCTCTCCACTCGTGTCCTGGGCTTCAGCAGTTGTGGCCCATGGGCTTAGTTGCTGCACAACATATGGGATCTTAGTTCCCCCACCAGGGATCGAACCCATAACTCTTTTGTGTTGTGGGTTCATAACCAGTGGACCATCAGGGAAGTCCCTCAATTGCAATTTTTAAAACTTCTACCCCAGTGGGAAAAATCCCTATTTCCTCTGGAGTGTTGGGGGGGGCGGGTGGACGGCCAGCATGTGTGTGTAAAGCCGGACGATTATCAACAGCGTGATAGCTAAGTGACTTTTGTGTACCGGAAATAGATGTGATGGTTCTGTCTCCTGAGGTTGAAAGTCATTAGTTTCTGTGTGGATATTTGGACAAGTCTGTATCCTTTTACATGGAAATGTTCAAGCTCCTGTGTTTCTGTATTTTAAGTTCACTGTGTCTGACCTGTCAACAGTAATTAGGAACAATTATGGCATGTTTTCTGTGGAATGCTTTTGCTGACAGAGAAACACGTACTATGAGAACATAAATGAGGAATGGTGAATAAAATGGTGATTTCTGTCAAGAGAAGAGTTCTTTGGTACTTAGGTATCAGAAAATTTTGCTCTCGGCAACTCCCCTGGCACATTTTATTAACTTGCCTGCTTTCTGTGTAATTTGGAAAATGGGAATCAAGCAACTGAATGAATAAAACTTGCATCAGGGAAAGCACAGGGTCTGTTGGTGGATTGAAGTTTAGCATTGTTGTACCATTTCAGACCTTTTCTTTCCGTTTTCATTTTTGTTTCCCTGCCTAAATGAATGCCAGCACTGAGCCTTTTTGGGTCACACTTGCCATCTTGATGTTAACTAATGGGAGTAGAAATAATTTCAGAGTCAATTTTCACATAAATAAGGTAATGTCAGTTTCAGAGGTGTCTGATCTTTGCTTATAAACAGAAATTTGCATTACTTATAGTGTAAATTTACATTAGCTGTAGTGGGTTGTACAACAGGAGAACATCATTTGGGAATAGTGGAGATGAAGGGATTCATGCCTGTATATTACAGTTATTCATAGTTTCTTGGAGGGCAGGAAGCTCTTTGTCAGGGGAGGTGCTTAGGTCAGAATGTTCATTCACTGATGGGGGGGGAAAGATGAGTGAGCTCCTGCAGTGCTTGCAGGCGGGGCCTGCACCCCAAAGCTCATCTTCGCCCCACGGCCGGGAGCACCAGCTGGTGGAGAAGTTCTTTCTGAGCGAGCCTGGGCTCTCTGCCCTTTTGCCAAAGAACATGGGTGCGGTGCTGAGCCTCTCAGGACCAGCTGGTGATTTTTATTGATGATCTTGTTTTAGCCAAATTCAGGCCCTGAATTGGTCTTGTCCGAAGATGAGAAAAGCGACACTGAAGATCAGGAAGAGACAGAACTGGGCGTCATGGAGGACCAGCGCAGTGTGATCCTTCACCTCATTTCTCAGCTCAAACTTGGGATGGATCTGACCAAGGTAGGAGTGCGTGTCCCCGGGGCCTTGTGGCCGGTCGTCTGGGTGCTGTGTTTCCCTCCCAGGCTTCCCTGTCAAGCATGAATGCCCCAGGGGTGATTGGAAAGGCTCCCCACCCCCACCCCCCAACTGTTGTCACACAACTTGTGGGATCTTAGTTCCCTGACTAGGGAAGGATTGAAGCTGAGCCCCTCAATGGAAGCATGGAGCTTAACCCCTGGATCCACCCGGAAAGTCCCTGGAAAGCATATTTCATGTGGCCACCCATCCCAAGAGTGAGAGCCTGGCATTTGCGTCTCTGGAGGACTTGAGATGCTCCAAGGGCGGGGAGAACACACGAGATGATGAGGACAATTCCAGGTGGGATTTGTCTCCCACTGTGTCCTCGAGAGGATGAAAGGTGACCTCGAGAGATGCATGTGGCACATTAGCCACAGAAAACAGGAGGAAGGAGATGGTGGGGGTGGGAGTGAGCCTGCCTCCTGGCATCTCCTCCCAGGCATCTGGCCACCTGCTGCTGCCTCTTGTCACTGGCTTTCACCCTGCTGGTGATCAGGCCTCAGTGCCCACGTGGGGAGCTGTGTGCTTGCTGGTTGGTGGACATGCAGTAATTCCTGCTGCTATGTGCTCATCCTGGGAAACTGTGTGAGAGGACTCAGCATCCTCATGGTGATGTCCAGGACATGGCCCTCGTGGCGCCTCGCCCCACTCTGGGCAGTGTCTTTGTCCTGGAGGCGAGAGAAAAGGCCACTGTACCTGCAGCTGAGAGGTGAGGGTGGGCATCAGTGGCCATGTGGGTTGGGGGAGGTGCCTGGACTTGACGGTCTAACCTACCTTGGGTTCCCTTGCCTTGGCCAGATTCTGATGCTGGAAATTCAGCCTCTGTGCACCAGTGCCGAAAGGAATCTCAGAGTTTTGGGTGATGCAGAGAAGAATAGCTTTATTGCTTTGTCAGGCAAAGGGGGACCCAGCGGCCTAATGTCCTCAAGTGTGTGCGTCCCGACCCAGGAGGGTCTGGTGAGGAGTTGTATGTAGAACAGTGGTCCAAGCGCGGAGCTGCTGCTGAGGCGCGGGGCGTGTGCAGGGCCTGCACTCCTTTAGTCTGGCCCAGGCGATCTTCCCTAGAACGGGGGTGGATCCATCTTACATTTGTTTATCCATCTTGTATATAATGTTGTTTATCCATCTTCTGTATAATAATTTGCACCTGCTAATCCCAAACTGAAACGGCAACCCAGTTTAGGACTTGAACCCAAGGTCTTTTCATTGAGATCGCACACCTGGTCTCAGGATTTAATGAAACTCAGGTTCTTGGTGTCTTATTACAGAAAGAATTCAGTGAGAGACAAAGTGATAGGTAAGAAGTGGATTAATTTAGAGAGAAGTACAGTCTACTGACAGAGTGTGGGCCCTCTCAGAATGTGAGAGAGGCCCCCAGATATGGCATCTTTAGTTTTTATAGGCTAGGTAATTTTATAGGCTAATGAGCAGGAGAATCGCTACCACTATGTTGAGGAAGGGGCGGGAATTCCCAGGGCTCGGGCCACTACCCGCTTCTTGATGTTTGACGGGCAGCCTCAGGACTCTCCTGGCACTGGTGGGTGTGCCGTTTCGTTGGCTGTGTTGCACTGAGCATATCCTGAGGCTCGAGGTCTGGCGGAAGTCGCCTCACCCACCCCTTGAACTAGCTTGTTCTAACCAGTCGTCACGTCCTGTGGCTGTCTCATTCTTTTAAAGGTTGTGCCCTCCCCGCTTCCCTTTTGTTTCAGAACTCACCCTCTATCCCTTCCCCAGTCTCCCTCTCCCTTGGCCACCACACTTCTGTCCTCCGGGTCTTGGATTCTGTTCTGGTTTTGCAGATGTGCTCATTTGTGTCGTAATGAAGATTCCGCCTGTATGTGATGTCACGTGGTGTTTGTCCGTCTCTGTCTGAGCTGCGTCACTAAGTGTGACCGTCTCTGTGTGCATCCATGTTCCTGCAAATGGCATTAGTTCTTCCCTTGTTAATGGCTGCGTGATATTCCGTTTTACACATGCCCCTCATTTTCTTGATCCATTCATCTGCTGATGGACGTTTAGGTTGTTTGCATGTCTTGGCTATTGTCAGTAGTGCTGCTGTGAACACTGGGATGCGTGTATCTTTTCACATTGCAGTTTTGTCAGGGTATATGCACAGTACTGGGGTTCCTGGATCATGTGGTAGTTCTATTTTTAGGTTTTTTTTTTTTTTTTTTTTGGAGGAATCTCCAGTTTGTCTTTCACAGTGGCTACATGAAATTGCATTCCCACCAGCAGCGTATGAGTGTTCCCTTTTCTCCACACCCTCTCCAGCATTTCCTGTTTGTAGGTCATCTCTTTCCTATTGTCTCCTCTCCTCTTCTCGGCTCTTGACTGTCATTCAGCGAAGTTTGTGCTAAACTGTCAGTGGATGAACTTGGCTGGAATGGTGCTTGGTCCAGGGAGCAGGCACCCTGGAGAGGGAAGATGCCTCCACTCAAGAATGAAGCTCTGGTCTCTCCATGAAATAAGTGCATGGCTCTGTCTTTGCAGAGATGGCCAGCTCTGCCACACTCAGGTCAGCGGCCTCACCAGGCCTTTAGGGCTGCATTTTGCGGCTTCCTGGACATGTGACTGGTGGGGTCGTACCCCATGCTCAGAAGCATCCCAGGCTGGGTTACCGCTCTGCTGTTGCTGACTTGAAATTCATTTTGAACAGGAGGACTTGCATTTTCATTTTTCACCAGGCCCCTCAGCACAGGTCTCTGGTCCTGCTTCGAAAAGCACCCTTGTCTGCCCCCCTTCCTCGATTGTGATTGCAGAAGCCTAAGTTGCTGGTAAATTGCTCCACTGGGTAGTCTGCTGCTGTTCCACAAACTGTGGGTAGCCCGAAAGGAAAATACAGGAAAAGGAGGAGCCAGAGAAGGTGGAGGTCACAGAAGGGCATTTTGACAAAGGGTCATGTTGGTGGAGCCTGAAGAACAAGTGGACAGGAGTGGGAGGAACGAGAGGAAGGGTGTTCCCGGTGGAGGGAACAGCATGGGCAAACCCAGAGAGCGTACAGTGGTGGGGTGTGCGGAGTGTGTACTAGGGGGCCCGGAGGAGCCTCAAGTCCGGAGGGGTCACATCTGCAGAGGCTTGTGGGCTGTTGAAGGAGGGTGGACTTGATCCTGGGGGCGATGGGGAACCTCTGGAGGGCTTGGAGCAGCTGGAAAATGTGTTCAGAGCCACTGCCCTGCCAAATCATGGGCTCCAGGGAGGCAGGCCCCAGAGTGCAAGGTTGAGCTTGGAGGTTTATGATGATTTTCCCCTTGTTTCCAGGGCTATGAAAGGCAGCTTTTACTAACTCGTGTGCTCTCTCATCGAGTATGTGTGTATTGGGCTCCACACTGCCACGTGCTGTTCTACACGCTGGGAGTCTCCCAGCAGTGAACCCAACATTCAGAATCCACGCCCTCGTGGAGCCTGTGTGATAGTGGAAGGAGACAGACAGGAAGCAAGAGGGCCAGAAGGATGTAGGGGTAGAAACGCAATGTAGACAGAGAGCATGGCGGGCCAGGGTTAAAGGTGACGGGGGCAGGGCAGCCTCCTAGATCAACTGCTCAGAGCAGGATTCCCCAGGTGTCACTGGAGTGCAGACCCCAGATGAAGTCTGGCAGAAGTCAGGCAGGTGACCTTGTAGTGGAAGGGCATTCAGGCCAGAGGGGACGGTGAGTGGGCAAGGCCCAGGGTGGATCTTGCTTGGCCAGGATGAGAGTGACTTGTATGGGTTGGCAGGGGCTGGATCAGAGAACCTAGTCGGACATTCAGCACTTGGGTATCATTCTGGGTGGCATGGGTGCCGCTGAGGAGTGTCCAGTGGAGGGATGCAGGGCCTTCCTTGTATGGCTTTAACGTTTATTTTTGTGTCTGGCTGTCTGGGGTCTTAGTGGTGGCACACAGGGTCTTCGTTGCGCCTTGTGGGACCTCCGGTCACAATGCATGGACTCTGGTTGAGGCACGCGGGCTCCAGAGTGCACAGGTTTCAGTAGCTTCAATACATGGCTTATCTTGCTCTGTGACATGTGGGATCTTAGTTCCCCAACCGGGGATCAACCCACATCCCTTGCATTGCAAGGCGGATTCTTAAGCCCTGGACCACCAGGGAAATTCCCTTCCTTATATTTTTAAAGGTTTATTTTGACTCTTGTGTGGAAAGTGGACTGAGATGAGGCGAGTGGGGTGCAGGCAGCAAGGTCGTGGTGGAAACAGAGGCGGTGCCAGTCAGTGGGAAGGGTGGTGGCTGATCCTAGGTGTGCCTAGACGGTGTGCCAGTGGGCTGTGACTGTCCTGTTTGCATGTAGATCGGATGTAGGATATGAGCTAAAGAGGAATAAAGAATGGCTCTGACCCAAGCCACTGGGATAATAACAATTAGAACTGTTGTTTGTTTCAAAGATCTCTTACTGGAGGAATTGACCACCCTAAACCAAATGACCTAAAATGACCATTTTACTTGTTCATGGTTATGCCATCTAGGCTGGGCTTAGCTGAGCAGTTCTCCTGCTGGCCTTGCCTGTGGTCACTGCCTGTGTGCCTGTCTTCAGCTGTTGGGCTGACTGTGGGCTGGACTCGGTTGGAACACCTGGGCCTTCCTCTCACCATGAAGTTCTAGGACCTTCTCTCTCCATGAATCCTTCCCTCATGGTCTGTCCAGCTGGGTAGCCAGCTCAAAGCTCCCAGGAGGGCAAAAGTGGACACTGATAAACCTTAGGCCCCAAACTGACACCATGTCAGTTCTACTCTATTGATTAACGTATTACAGGGGGGCTGTGCAGGCACGTGATCTCCAGGGGCTCAGGTTCACTGGGGGCCACAGTGGGGCTGACCACCACCCCCGCTTAACAAGGGAGAGAAGGTATAGAATGGGGAGGTCAGGGGGATACCCTGGGGATACCCCAGGTTCAACCTTGAGTCTGTTGGGTCTGAGAGATTCATTGACTCCTGAAAGGGAGTGAATAGAGGCA